AAAAGGGGGGGGGGTGTCAAGTGTCAGCGACACTGATAGCAACTGAGAAGCATGTTATTTTTATTATTTATAGTTTTCGTCTTTCTGTTATATTGTTGTAATTTTAATTTGGTGTATGTTTGGACTTGTTTTTATATACTGTGCTGTACTATACTTCACTGTGTCTTTATTAGATTGTTAAAATTTAATGAAAAAAAATATATTTTGGGAAAAAAAATATATTCTTAGCTCACCACCAACTGGTCTTTTTTTAAGCACTTGTTTTCATGCACAAGGCGTTAATAAATGATAATCAGGGCTGCTGGAAATAAAGAAAGTTTTCTCTTGTCTAGACAGAGACTGGAAAGAAAGACTATTTAATAAGTGGCAACTTAGCTGTTCATGTCATAGAGTTTTATTTCATAATTCAGTTCAAAGGAAACTCAACTGTAGTGTGCAACCTCGTGTTTTTTGCCTCTTTATTTTCTACTGCTCTCATGATGCTTGGACGACATGTTGATCATCTTATCTTCTGCAGCTCTGCAATAGACAGCCTGTGTCTAATAACCTCCAGTAATTATCTCCACATCAAAGATTTTACATGTTTTCACTTGTATTTTTGACCACTTACCTTCAGTTATACGCTTTGAATCTATCAGGATCGACGGCTACCTGCCATCACCCCAATCTTTAGTTCCCTCCACAGATTTCCTACTGGAGTCCAATGAATTTTGCCTTCAGTCGTTAAAATGACAAAACAAAACAAATACAAAATATAAATAAATCAGCAGTATAAACCATTATCGGCTTAACTGTACTATATATTAACTGCTCTTTGAAGGAATTAAAAAATAAAAGGTACCTGTTTGATAGTGATGGGTTAATGAGGCATATGCCAAACTGTATTGATCCTGTCTCACAGAATACTGACACCTGCTGGACATTTAGAGACACTACAGGCAGTTTATTAGACCGGCTAAACTGAATTAATGAAATTAACCAGTAGAATTGTATAATTTAAGTTATTAGAGGTTAAATTGTATTATTTTACATGTATTTTAAATTAAAAATATATCTGATCTTTTGAGATGCAGCCAATAAATAATGTAAACTTATATAACGGGAAAATTTAAGGGAAAATGTGAATGTGGATGCTTGTGGCGTAAGAGTTTCAATGCTATTTTTGAAAAGTACAGTAAAAACAGTAAATAAACTAAGAGTGGATTGAAATTAACTTTTAATTCAGATAAGTTGAGTGATAACTGAAAGAAAAGGTGTGACACGAGAAAATTTAAATAAAAAAAGCAGCGGCTGAAACGCTCCGATTCCTTTTAGGCTGCTCTAAAATTTTTTATCATTTTAATGATAAACCACAAAAGATGAGACATTATTTTAGCAGATGCATAATGTTAACGGATACATTTTTAAACAAGTTTAATGCTTCAGTCAGTTAGAAACAACTCCTGTGTTGGTTACATGACCTACTAGAAACAAAACACACACCGATAGTGTTTTGCTCTATGAGCTTGACGTATTGGGGTTATTGGACCCAGACCCATCACTACTGTCTGATGTTCAGACCTTAAAGTCGTAGGGAAATCATATTTAAATGTCAAATCATTCTGGCTTAAACATGTATATAAATGTACACTTTATCAGTTGTTGTCCCAAAAGTTAGAAAATTTCTATTTAAAAAAAAAAAAATCATGTCTTAAAATCTGTATTTTTTTCATTATCTTCTGCAGGCCAGTTAGTTATACGTCAGCCTGAACACCTAAATTCGGCCAATCATATATCAACGGTCATCTGTCAATCAAATTGATAAATCATCTTGAATCATATGTAGCAGCTAATATACACAACGGCTGAAATCAGAATCATTTCCTTTCCCATTGAGTTCCGTCCCAGTGTTCACGGGGATGGACGTCTGTGTCTTCAGCAGGCGTAGAGCTAACAGAACTGGCAGCATTGCGAGGCAAGGGCTCAAACATGTACGGCTGGAAGCCTTCTACACCAAACAAACCTTCTGCCGCCATGGCATCCTCGTCCACAACAAC